GAGAGGCCAGTTTATTGCAAAGAATAATGACACATATCATAGAGCAGTATTGTTTGGCAGCGCTGCATAAATGACTGTTCATCAAAACTTGCTATACCAGAACTGAGACAACATTATAGACTCTTTAGAAGAATGCCAATATACAAGATGTTTAGTGAAACATCATGTTCATAGTGCGTCATGAAACATATTGTACTGGTCTTGTAAAGTAGATGTGTGATTTTTTTGAGGGCCATGTTTGAGTCTCTTTCACTGTGGGAAATGATGTTTCCACCAAGCTTTTTGCATGTCTTGAGTACTGTGAAATTGTACTGATACATAACTGAGGTAGCAGGTACGCCTGCTTATGTCAGTAGAGACTCCAAAATTGTTCTCCATTCTTATTTTTAGAATCCTCTGTTAAGGTGGATTTTGAATGGAGGCAACTGGAGGTTGTAGTTGCCTTGTGTCCCTTACACCATTGCATAGAAGCATACGAAGATGCTGGGTACTTCCATACTTCTAACAGACATACCTAGTCAAAAAACACTAAGCTCGCATGAAGCACCTGAATGACTACCCTGAAATCACATGTAGCAATATGAGTCAGGAAAGTAGATTTATTAAAGGCTAAGTCGCTGATTGCTATTCAGTTATGTGGTAAATAATGAAAGGAGTCATTAAAGAGAGTAAGAGGAAGTGAGAAGTACTAGATAAATAGCAAAAATCTCTCTAAAAAGCCTCCTAAAATCCCCTCATGTTTTCCGAGTTCTATTGGGACATGACTAGTATTTTTGAGTTATCAAATGGACAAGTGAAGAAAGGCAATAAACTGTGCCGAAACAGCAGTGTTTGTTACATCAAGTGATTATATACTCTCTGCTTTCTCTCAAATAGTTGGAGATCTGTTTTTTATTTCCCTGTCTGTCAGATTCTCAGTTTTCATTCATGGTATATGTCATGGTTTAAACCCAGTCAAGTAATTCGTTCGCTCACTTCCCCCCCTTTTCTTGCCCTCCCCCTGCTCTCGGAGGGACGGAGAGGAGAATCGAAAAGAATGCAACTCCCACGGGTTGAGATAAGAACAGTTTAGTAACTAAGGTATAACACAGATCACTACTGCTACCACCAATGATAATAATGATAAAGGAAATAACAAGGGAAGAGAATACATCATCTCACCACCAGCTGACCGATAACTCGCCCCCCCAGCCCGACCAAGCTCTGACCGATACCTCCTCCAGCCCTGCAGTCTCCCAGCCCTTCCGGCTAACTCCCAGTCACCTCCTGGGCATGACGTGCTGTGGTATGGAATACCTCTTTGGTCAGTTTGGGTCAGGTGTCCTGTCTCTGCTTCCTCCTGGCTCCCCCTCCTCCCTGGCAGAGCATGAGGCTCACAAAGTCCTTGGCCAAACCTAAACATCGCTTCTTATCAGCTCTGTTCCCGAGCTGAAAGTCAAAACACAGCACTGCACCAGCTACCAAGAAGGGGAAAAATGACTGCTACTGCTGAACCCAGGACAGTATATAACTTACCTGACTTCATGGAAACCAGGAAGGTAGCTCTACCTGTACTACCTGAGAAGCTGACATGGAAATTCTTCCTATCAATGATACTGGTACACCTTGGAAAAAGCACACAAAGTGAAACTGCCCAAGTTCTACTGATGTATAACATTGCATAGGAGATTGCATATTCTACCTGTTGAGAAAGTTGTTGAAGGCAGCATGTTGTTCTTTTCTGTAATGGGAGTTATGTACTCTGCAACTCTTTTTTTTTTTTAATATCAGTTTCTTTTGGCATTTTATGATTTCAGTGTGTGAGTGAATCTGAAGCCCTTAAAGATGCTAAATTAAGCTCGAGGTTGTCTAGGAAATGCTTGAAGAGAATAAAATTCACAAACCATACAGTAGTGATAACAGAGCATCAGACAAAGTTTATATTCCTTAAAAACATCTATTCTGCCTATTCTTAATTTTGTATACTGTTAGTGTAGCATTCCTTTAAGAAGTATTGGGTAAGCTAGTGTCCTTCTGAAAGGAGGAGGGATATTTTTACTTTCCTGGCTGTGGTTCTGGGATTGTTTTGGTGGAGAAAGATGACATATTGCAGAGTGTAATATGCAGAAGGATCACATCAGAGAGTTTGGGTACCATAGTTCATCCAAAGAGACTAAGAAACTGCAGTAAAGGTTGAGAAGATAGTCATGCCTCTAGGAAGGTAGAATGCATAATTGGAGATGTTAGAGATCAGAGGCAAATCAGGAGAGTTTACTTCTGGTCAGTAAGTAACTGGATGTAGTTGCTCTAAATGTAAAGTAAAAAAGAAAATAAATTTATGAAAATATTGTTAGGTTGGGTTTTTTTTTGAAGTTGTGGAAGATGCAGTCCAGTACATCTGTATGTGACACTTTGCCCCTGGCTTCATTTAGAATGAGGTTTGAAAATAAACACAAAACTCTAGAAAGCCACAGGTTGTTGTAAGTGTGCTGCCAGGTTTTTTTTTCCTACATCTTGCATTCTTTTCAGTCCATCAGTCTGGAAGGGAATTGTAAAGACCACACAAGGAGAACTGAAATTGTGGCATTTTTATGTATTTAAAGTATAAATATTGTTCCCATCAAAAGCAGAACCAATATGGTGATGAACTCAGGAATGCGCTGGAGGCAGTGGAAACCACAGCAGTATGTGAGCGAACTAGAGCTATCACACTAAAAAGATTCTGGGACTGGAAATCCGAAGACAGGTTTCTGATGAAAGAGGAGCATAGTAGGCTGATGTTCAGGTTGAAGACTTCAACACTCATGGGAGAATTATTTAGCAGTGATAAGGACTGCTGCAATGAAAGGATGTAAGTTTCAAAGTGGATAATCTATATGGAAGATGTAAGTTCACAACAAATTTTGTGTTCCTTTTTGTATTCTTCATAACACACAACCAAGCCCTGAATTCTCTGTAAGGTCACAGCTATAATGAAAACATTTAAAATAATGGCAGTATAAGCTCCTGAAAGAAAGTAGGGTCAATGAAAGAATTCAGAAAAGAAGTTAGCAAAGATGAAGGCACTTGTGAGACTGTTCTGTAAGGGAAAATTTAAACAGATAGAAAAGGAACTAGAGGCATAGATTTCAGAGCTATTTATTTTACAGTTGTGTAAAATTGCAGGCAATAGAAAAAATATGATTGGATGGAATGTTTTTAACCAAAAGCTTAGTTAAGGTTTTAACTTAAAAAAGAAGAAATTCAGAAAGCTATAAAGGTGATGCCGGCATTTTATATTTTAATCTCTTCTTTGGTTTCAGCTATTTATTCACCGCTATTCTATTACAGCTATGTTATTCACCATAACATTCTGATGCTGAATAATGACTTGGTGACAGCTTTTTATGCAGATGTTTTGTATTTTTCCTTCTACCTGGATTATTGGCAAATGTTTATTGGACTGATATAGTCCTTGGATTTTTATAGTCCTTTCGAGGGACTATAAAAAATGAAATAAAATTAATGTCCAAAATATAGTAAATATATTTTTTTAACATTTGGCTTGGTTTTAGACAAATATTTTAATCATATTTCACTCAACATCAGTAAAAATGCTATCAACTTTATAGTGCTTTTGTATCAATGTGTGACAGTTTATCATAGGAGGAAACCCATAAAGCCTCCACTTTTTTTGTAAAGTGGATGAAGGCAGTCACGGGCTGAAAGAATGTGATGATTCAGCTTACTGTACTTCATTAAACATTTCTCTGCTGTAGGAATTTAATTCTTTTGAAATGAACAATTTGTCTTAAATACATCATTAGAAAAGGACTGTATGCTATAGACCTTTTTTTTGTTACGTGGAAGTTCTGTTCAGTAGCTTTCCACATTTTCCTTCTCACATTCATGTTATTTTAATTATTCTAATTCACACCTACATGTCTTCTCATTGATTATGAAAGAATAGACACTGCCCACTTGAATGAACAGAACCACAGACCTCATCATTAGTCAGAGCAGTGTATAAGGACACAATTCAGAAGAATATACTTAATTTCTCCTTTCACTAATGCTTTCATTTCTAGAATGAAAGACATTTCCTCCTAATAATCTGTATGTTTCACAGGTGGTAAAGTCACTAGGTTGCCTGTGAGAATATCTGGAGGTTTCCAACCAGCTCAGACATGTGACTAGGTTTAAATTCTGTTGTAAACAAACAGATCATTAATAATATGCTGTTGATTCCACTGGGGCGAGGGTTTTATATCCAGTCTCTTTTTCACAGCTTTCCCTTTTCCACATCTTTCTCAAGAGCCAATGACTCATTTCCAGATTACTGCTATTGAATGAGCTGTTTCTCTTTTAAGTTTCAATCTGATTTTATTTCCCAGCTTCTCTAGAGCTTTAATTTCATAAAGTCAGCTTTATGGAGTCCTTCATCAGTACATCTACCTTTTACAACATCCAGAGCAGATCATGGATACTACCAAATAATTATTCCTGAAATGGGATCCAGCATATATGTTCAGCTACGTGGTAGATCTGATTGTTCTCTGTTGCTCACTGGCTATAACATTTTTCTCTTTCTTTCCTCTGGAAAATGAGTGTTAATTTCCATAAAGAGTTGAGAGGTGCCATTTTGGGTGAATGGAGTTGTTCGTTTGGTGCTGCTTGTCAGGATGCAACATGTTCAATCTATAAGGAATTCAGGACAGAATACATAGAGGGATAAGGGGTTGGAGGAATAAAGAAATGGGAAAGTGAGATGCAACATTGAGAATGAATGCAGATTGTAAGCAGTAGAGCTAGTGGCATACTTTCTTACGCTGTATGTGCGGCAGTCAGCTCATGATGCAGAAAGTCATGAATGATGTATCAGGAGGAGTGCGCAGAAAAGTACTTTATAATTCTTCTACGCTTCTGCATTTGCATTCACATAGACTTCTTAAAGCATTGTTTTATCTTCACTGTTAGCAAACCATTGTTGTTTATCTTCATTCCAGGTCTACAATGTAACTAATTATTTGTTTTTTTTTAAGAACTGCCTGAGACTACCTTAATTGAAGAAAAAGTTCAAGAGACAGAGATATGGGCCAGGCCTCTGGTCTACCTTTGGCAGACAGGGGTACCCAATTTCAATGCTGAAAAAGAATACAATGCAGCTTGTGCAAAAAAGGAACCCCGCTGTGCCATTTGCACTCTTCTCATGCCATACTATAGGGTAAGCAAGATTCTAACAGCTCCATCTCCAGGTGAAGTGTGAAATAGCTGCCCAGTTATCTAATTTCCAGTAAATCAGAAATAAAATAAGCTTACGCATCTGATTTTTATGAGGTAACTGTTGTTAAAATTAGAACTGAGACACTGTTCACCTCTGTTTATCCTTGGTTGCAGACAGTTTATGCCTTCTACAATGTAGGATTGGTATTAGTGTATGTGTGCTTGCCCTTGAAGTTACACTTTTTGAGGTGTCAAATCCACATAGATTGATAGCTTCTAGCTATTTCCTTATGTGTCCATCTTCAAGTGTTTTTTTATTGGAGCCTTTTCTATGTCTCCTTCTTGCAGTGCTGAAGAAATAAATGTTTCCACAGTACTTAGGCCTTCTCAGGAATAATATTCCCACAGAAAAGTCTAATGCAGGGCACCGTTTGATACTTGTTTGCGGAATTCTTGTGTCAAATGTCAGCTAAAAATGCTGCCGTAGTACTATTGTCCTAGTTCTGAAGCTGTTAAACTGGAATCCCTTATCATGGGGACTAGGAAGAAAGCTTTTATTTGCAGTAGACCTCGTTAAAGGTTTCAAAAGGACACAGAGATACAGTATCATTGAACACTGCTTTAATAGCATTAGTTTGTAGGTTGAGTGCTACTATAGATTTCAAAGTTATTTGAACAATCAAGGAACTATAGAATGACTGTGATAAATACCTAGAAGCAGTTAATATTCTCATAAAACTGTTACATTCTTAGTGCAAAAGCTAGGAGGGGAGAAGTCATTTTGTCATTGTCAAAAGGAAAAGTAAGTAAGACTTTCCTTTCTTCTACTTAAATATAAATTTTGCTTATTTTCTAGCCAGACAATCATGATGAAGAAAGCTCTGCTTTCAGGGAAGCAAACTCAGCAGAAACACTGATGGCTGAAAATGAGAAGACCAAACCTCTTATTCCAGAGATGTGTTTTATTTATAGTGAGGAAAACACTGAAAACTATCCATCAAATGCCTTTATTGAAGAAGATGGAACAAGTCTTCTGGTTTGCTGTGCAAAGTGTTGTGTACAGGTTCATGCAAGTAAATACACTAATTGTTCAATTGACAGAAATGTAATTTCAAATTTTGTATTATTGATAAATAATAGTTAACTAGGCTTCTAGTATGCCTATAAAAATACTTGAAGAATATTTCCACATGTAATGCTCCAATCACTGGCCAAATATTTTAAAAACTATGTTAACTTTTCTGTAGACTTCTGATTCTTGTTTCAATTCTGAGCAATTAAATTACTCTTCTGCTTCTCATATTTGAAACCACTGTGCTGTGTGATATTAGTACGTCCTTATTAAGTAGTCAGGGTGAAATCCTCCTGGGTTTGAGGACTTGTGAATATTGCTGTTGACATTAGGTATATAGTAATATCCTTCACCCTGCATTCTTTTATTTCAAGAGTGACTGATGAATGCAGGGATTTTCTGCATTATCTTCTACAGACAGTAGGGCCTGAATAGTTACCTTAGAGAAGTCCATGTGAAATTCTTACATGGAAGTGAAGTATAATTGCATAGAATAAATGTTAGTACATTAATTCAGATTGTACATTTTTGTTGCAGAGAGAATTGGAAGTCTGTTATCTAATAAAACATAAGAAAAATAAGAATTTTTTTTTTCTTATTTTCAAACCCAGAAAATAAATTCTGTAGGGTTTGTTTATTTGGGGTTTTGTTTTTGGATTTGTGGTTTTTTTTCATTTTGTTTTGATTTTTGATTTGGTGTTTTTTTTGGTTTTATCTTTTTTTTAGTTTTGTGAGGATTGTCTGTGTGTCAAATTACATATTTCATAGACTATGGAATTAGCAGTAAGTGTAGATTGCAAAGGTCTCCATGGTCACGGGACATGTATTTTATTAGTATTTATACATAATTGAATTGTATGACATCATAGATAGGCAGAATATATTACTCAATCCAGCTGTCTTATTGTAGGTTGTTATGGTGTTCCTTCTCATGAAATCCGTACTGAATGGTTATGTTCTCGATGCAGAAAAGAAGCCTGGACAGCCGTAAGTTTCACACATTTCTTAGTTATCTAGCACATTAGAGATATAAGAGATTTAAGGTACATGTGGCATGTAGCCTGTGAAATTTTTCTGATCACACACTTGCTAGGGAAAAATTATTTTTAAAATATTATTAGATTTTGATGTAGAATGTAATAGCATTTTGAGAGACAGAGTAGATTTATATGCTCTTGAAAAGGATTGGCTAACAGAATATAGTTGTGCGTAAAATATTTTTCAAGGAAACAACTGAAAATTTAAATGCACATAAAAGAGGAAAAAAATAAGACTTCCTCTAAATATTTTTGACTTTTGATAAGTTCATTTAGGTAGCTGGAGAACACAGAAAGGGAAAGAGAATAATAAATTAGTTAAGAATGAAATTGTTCCTTTACAGCATTTAAGGTTTACTGTACTACGTAAGCAGTAAATGGTTTCAGTTGTGAAGCTCCTAAATGCCTATGATTTAATTTTAAAAAAGGGGAAAAGTAGTTTTAAACTGGAAGGATTAAATGGACACACACAGAGTCCTTAAACATACACTAATTTAAAAGAAAAAAAAACAATAAACAGTTTAAAATTTTACGTTTTACCAATCTCTCATTTGTCCCTGAAGTCATCTAATATTCGTTTTCCCTAAACCAGGAAATGCGATAATCAGTTTTGATGGCAACATAGTTTTTCTTCATTCAGTTGTTGAATTAAAAGCAGTTATTTCAGTTGCCTTCAAAATTTAAATTGTTAAATGACATCATAAAAATTTTAGGTATGTGGAAAAGAGAATTCAAACTACTGGAAAATACAATATCACTTTGTCAAACATCACTTCTTGCAATTATGAATGTCGCCTGTAGGAAATTTGCAATTGTAGCATTAGCAAACTGGAGGTAGCAAAAAATATAAACACTTTCATTTTCTTTTTGTGCACTGTCAACATTTTGAGGTTCCTTTGTGGATGCCTCGAGTTACAGAAACTAAAGAGGAACTGGTACTTTTAATCCACGTATGACCTTAACTGTGGGGGGGAAGTGAAGGAAAAAGGCAAAAGTGACTTAGAACTGCTCATTACAAAAATATGGTCCATCTGTAATGTTTAGTTCTGTGTTCTCTCAGTGAATAGCTATTAAAATATTTATTGAATCAATTTCTCTTTCTGTAATGTATTTTCATTTTAGTAGGAAAGGCATTCTTCCTAGGTAAAAAAATCCAATTTTCATCTTTCATTGGTAACCAAGAAACCTTCCTCATCAGACAGTTTCGGAATCTCCTGAACTACTTTTGTAACTGGTGTTCTAGAGTCAGGGGAAGGTCAAGCCAAAATGCATAAGTCTGTTTTTAGCAAGTGACAGGTTGCTATTAACTCAAAATCAATTATGCAAACAGGGTTAGAAAGTCCCTGATGTGTTCTTTTCAGAGGAGGTATAGCTATGACATGCAAGTATAGGAATTCAAAGGAGAACCTTCTTATTCATGAAATACCATGTATGACAGCAATAGGACTGATTCAGATGTTTTTATTAAAAACACTGAAAAAAATTATAGAAAATTTTAAAAGTATTTTTTAGAACATTAGAAACTTGGAATCTGATAATAACTGCGATATAACAGTAATAAATTTGAGGATAAATTTGTACAGATGTTTGGGTTTTGACTATTGTTTTTAAAATCAAAAGTCACTGAGAAATATTAAAATTCTTAAAAGCCTTATAATTTGTAAGTGCTGTGTTGCAGAAATGATTCTAAAATTGTTCTGAGGTTTTAAGGTTATTTTACAAATATTCTTGAAGAAGATATCTAGATAGTGTTGCAGTAGGTGAAAGATAACAGAAATAGTGAGATAATGACACTTTTACGTTCACTGTGGGGCAATAAAGGTAAAACTGGGTTATAATAAAAGGTTAAACTGGGTAATATGATTAAAGAAGGTAAATGTTGGGGAGAAGATTAAGGCTTGACTTGGCCAGGACTTTTCTTTGTCAAACTTCTAGGGGAAAAATTCACACCCAAGGAGAGCATTATTTTGTGAAAAATTATACACATTTTACTGGATAGGTTTAGTTTTGTTCTGTTGTGATGCATGTGAGTTTCTGAAAATAAGGAAGATGGAGTTTTATGGAAAATACTTTTTGGCCAAATTATTTGAGGAGGTGAGATGAAGTAGTAGAAGAGAGATTAAAACCATACAGAAAATAAGCTTTGGCTATCATATATTTAACCAAATTGCTGTGATTTTGTATGTGTATTGATTACCATACAGCGAAATTATTAGTGCTGACTACTTCATCTTTCTATAACTTTGATTTGGTGATATGAGTGAAATGAACTTACGCCCCAGAGAGGTCTTCGTTCAGATATGTTTGGAGTAAAAAATTCATAGTCTTAATGTCATGAATTGTTGTTTAGTTGGGAAGTTTTAATGAAATTTTGAAGATTGAATAGATCTCACTAGTATTAAATTTACTTAAAACTTGTCATTCATAGTCTACTATCTTCTATTCTTTGTTATTACATGTTGTTCACACATCAATGTGAACTGTTCATTGTCAGCTGAAAGACGTAGGCGTAAATCGATAGTAGGCATCTGCTACCCAAGTTAAATAGCAAAAATCTGAAGGTTTCAGTGATGTGAATAACACTGTTATTTGCACATACTTGAATCATACCCAGTTCACTTTTTTAATAGTAGGCTTTTTCAGAACTCTTGAGATGCTGAAGCAATCTTATAAGTGATTATCTCTGAGAGTTGCAGAGCTTGGATGAGGTGCCAGCAGCCTGGAAAATTTAATGTTGCTTTTAAAAACAGGTGGGAAATGGGTAATCCGAGGAATTAACGTGGCAGTCAATTTACCTTGTATTCCAAAAGAACAAAACAAATGACATAATTCTAAACACTTAGCCAATAATGGAGTAAAAAGGGGTATGTATTTAAGAATAAACCAACTGATTTTTGGGTATGACAGGTCACAGCAAAAGGAATAAACAATAAGCAAAAGATTTCATGCACTGTAACTTTAAGATGCTTTAGATAGATAGTGGTTTAAATTCTGATATTAAGGTGACAGAAGAGATAGGAGGTAAATCAATAGTTGCCAAACCTATAGGAATATGGATTTGCTTTCGACCCTCAGTATCTCGGCCCACCAGCCATCGCTCTCATCAGACTCTTAAAATCACTAAGAATAATAAAGTTCTGTGCATCATTTGCTGATTACTTTTCCTGCCCTTATGGGACATATATAGACTATTCTGCTTCATGTCGTTTAAGATGATTGCCTAGGAGATGTGGGAGTATACTTCACGTGAAGCTACCAAGGTGTTAAACTTATAGAAAAAGTCAAATGATTTTGTGTAACTGTCAGGTGCGTTTCAGGTATTATTTAAAATACTATCTTCCTCAGTTATTTCAATATTTCAGTGAACTGAATAAGAAGCATTCCTGATGCATTTTCTGTAAGTACTAAGGACCTTGGGCATTTTGTAGGCTGAGGTTTACTAATTTGGGTTAGGATTACAGTTTTGGTTTGGATCCAATTACTGTTTTGGCTTGCGTCCTACTATTTTGTAAGATAATAATATTATCACTATATTGAAGAAATGCTGTAAAATAAATCATATGGAATTCAACAGAGGTAGGTACAATACTTAGAGAGGAGTTATCATTTATGCACATATAAGATGGGAGTCAATACCTAAGCAGTAGCTCTTGCTTCTAACTGCAGTTGTCACCAGTCTGGTCACAGACTGAAGTCTTCAGCTGTATAGAACCTGAAACGTCACAGTAGGAGGCTTAAGTCTTATATTGGAATTAGTGCCTGAAAAACACATGGAGCAATCTTTCTTCAGGTTTAATAAGAGCTAAGCTGAAGAAATGTGTCTGAGAGTGAATGTGGTTCATGCTAGCACGTGGTTCAAAGAAACATGAACCTGAATGGGATGGAAGAAAACAAGAGGTGCAATTGAAATAAAAAAAAAAAACCATCAAAAAACAACAAAACCCAAACTGGATTCTTTTAGTCACCTGATACACCTCAATCATTCCATATGGGAGTGTTGTAAAGAATTAATCTTCTTAGTATAGTGAGAGGAAGACAGAAAGGAATTAAGTAGCATTCTCTCGTGTAAGTTATATGTGTATGACAAAGATGAATACGATCTGCTGCAATTCTGTTATTTTAGGGAGAAGATGACTTGTAGCAGCTGTAAACTGCATCAGCAGACATCTGTGTTAGTACCAGAAAATTAGGTGAATTTTTATTTCTTAAAATAGTGATCTGCTAAAATAGGATATATAGAGATTTTGTAGAATGTACACCATGATTTTTAAAACCAACTTAGGCAAACGTTTGTCAGAAATAGTTGAAGAAGACTTGGTTGTGTCTTGAGGCTGAAGGATAAAATAGACACTGAGGTGGGGTTTTTTTTTCTCTTTTTCCTGTTTGAATGGTATTATTAATTACAAAACAATGTGACTGTAGTTCTGAAAAAAAAAATATCAGTTTGATATACGTGTTGGATATATTAGTGTATTTTTGCTTGAATGAAACCTTGTTGACAACATCAGCATGATTAAGTATTGCTGATACTTATTTGGGTCCTATTTATCATTTAGGATTATGTTTCTGTCTCTTTGGAGTTTGGACAATAACCTTAGATTATTCTAGTGGCTTTCGCTTCAAAATAGCACAATGAGATTATACTTAAATAAATATACTTGAATAAAAATACTTAAATAAATGTGTTTCCCTTTTAACCACTATTCTGTACATATATAAAAAGACAGCTTAATTAAATATACTGCTGCCCAAAGCACTATTTTCCGTTTTAAAAATCTGCAATTTGTTAGTTATGCCAACCTGCAGCTGAAAATTTTCTGCTACGTTTGAATTATATACATATATTTCTTTTAAAAGATTTTAAAAATTTGTATAAATTTTTCTATATCTGTTTTTATACATATGATATTTTAATTGTATTTTAAATTGCTGTGTAGTGCTATAAGTCTG